AACATTGTTCATTGACAGTGGGGACAGTGGTGATTTGCACTTTCTGACCTCCCTCCAAGGTCTTCTTGAGCCTCCACATTGGTGGGGCTCATTCAGAAGCAGCAGACAGAAGAACCCATAGATGTCGTTCATCAAGTTCAGTTGCTGGGGTAGAAGGCAGATTGCAGGGTAGGGGGCTCCCTGGTGGTCTGTGGATTAAGTTCCAGCATCATCACCACTACAGCCTGCGTTCGATCCGCAGCCAGGGAGCTGACGCAGATGGTGCGGCAGACTTCTCCTGTCTCGCCCGCTGCTCCCCTAGCAGTGTATTTCAGTAGATTCGCCTGTTCTGCTCCCCACTCTGTCTCAGGTGAATCCTCTCACACACATACCCCCACACCTCTGGCTAGCACCCCAGTTATTCTACACACACAAAAATAATTAAAGAAAGCAGGTGGAAGAAGAGTAAAGAGTGGATCTCTCTGTTGCTTCTCCAGCATCATGCTCTCTGGGCATTTCTTTCTCTCTTTCTCTACCTGTGTAGTGCTGGCCCCCTAAGCCTCTAAGAGCATAGATGCCCCCCTTCTACCCATGGCATTTCCCCTGACCCATCCCAGCACCTCACATGGAATCGTGCACATATAAGGAATCCCCAGGACCAGCGAGCAGCAGGGACATGCAGCAGCTGCTCGCTTTCCACGAGGTCGGTCCTTCTTTGCTTTTGCCAGAGGCCTTGCCAGTTGTTCAGCAGCTACAGGGACATTTTGGAAGCTGTGGGGAGAGACAGCTGAGGGGAGAGAGTGTTTGTAGGTTGATGTCTAGTCATAACAATTCTCCAAGTGCCTCCCCCGGTGACATTAGATAAACAGAGATGGGAATCACATTTCAGTGTGACAGCTTAAAAGGCATGTCAAGAAACAATTAAAAAGATCTAGAGCAACCTGGTCCTGGGAGACTTTTGTCAGAGTAAGACCGCTTCCTGTCAGGGCCTCTGAGGGGGGTGACAGGGTCTTAAAGCCCAAGTTCAAGGCTTGGAATTCTCCAAGGTTTATCCTCCCAGACCTGGGCCTGGAGACTCAGGGAGCCAGGAGAATTTGACCCTTCGCTGCTGTTGGTGTTTGGAAAATCACAAACAGAACATCTTCCTGGCAAGCCTCTGGCCGAGCACACTACCTTCCAATCCTTGTCAAAACCCTGACTGTGAGGAAGAATATTTATAGAGTATTGCCTGAAGGGCATGCTGTCCATCACTCCTTTAGATCAGCAGTTTTTCAGATTATCTTTTTTAGAGCCCTGGAAGTCCTGGGGGTGGCCCTGAGGCTCCCTAGAAACCAGTCCCCCACCTTTACCCTAATCCAGAGAGCACCAGGTCTGATCTGTCACATGTGGGACACTGGGGCTGCATATAAAAATGGATGCTGAGGGCATAACAGAACAAAAGCCATCACATTAGCCTAAATTTTATTCTGTGATCAAGCCAGATGGTGAGAAATCTGCAAGCTGGGTCATGTTCCTTTGCTCTGCAGTCCTTAGTTTCTGGTAATAAATTGCATTTCAATAGAATCCCATCAGCCCACCTTTTGGGAGCCCATTTGAAAAACAGCTTATGGCAAATCCTGAAGGGCCTCTTGAAGGGCTTCCCTTGGTGAATGCAGGGGGGCCCTTCCTCTGCGTTTTCAGGAATGTTGGTACCAGGTGGACCATGTCAGGCACACCCCCACGGACAGGGAAGTTGGCCTTGACCTTGCGAACAACAGTGCTGACTCTGGAGTCCACCTCTAGCTGCTCTCATAGATTCAAATCCCTTCCCCAAATGCCTCTGGCATTTCACATTTTGGATTGCCTTTGTGTGAACTGATGCGGCCTTTCTAAAGGATGGATAATATAAATATATAAATAAATAGAAGTAAGTGGTTCTTAAGGAAAAAGAAAGCAACTCGCTTCATTTGGTTTGTTCACCACCCCACAAATATGTCCTAATCCTATTCTCCTATAAAATACACTGGTTTTCCCATTCCTTGCTCCCAAACTCTACCGGCTATCGGGCGCGACCTTGGATGGGTGGACAGCCAAGGCATTCCCCATCATGATCCTCCAGCCCAGCCCTGCCTGCCCCTGCCTTCTATACCCTCTTATGCTCAAATACCAGTTTCCAAGTCCATATAGGCCTTCCCCATCCCAGTCTTTGGCACGCTTGGTTCCTAAGCTTAGACTCCATGGAAAATTCAAGACTGGGAGTATGTTTCCACTCCTCTGGCATGCTACCGCAGCTCCCAGAGCAGCAGGCTACCCCTTCTCCCTGTGCACCTCTGAAGTGTTAATGTCAGGACATGGCCCCATATCAACCTCCACTATTATTGGAAACAAGCCGGCTATGCCTCTTTTCCCCCCACCCCCAAGCCTCCAGTATATCCTTCTGCCCAGGGCACTGGTCACACACTCCAGACATGATGCTCAATCTGCCAGCCTGGATTCCCACCCCCACATTTCCTGTGACACCTCCAGTCCAGCTACAGACTCAGGGGCTGTCCCTCCCCATCATCTTCATTCCACTGCCACCTACAGCAACATGCAGAGCCACCTTTGCGAAGTGACAAGCCTGGGAGACACGGATGCTTCAGGAAGAAGCTTCACTGGGCCGGCACCCAGAGAAAGAAGGAACTTGCCCACAGTCAGGCCTGGGGAGGCTGCCACTTTTCTTCCTAAACTCCCCCTGCTCCCAAGGGGCCATATTTAATTCATGGCACTGCAGCTAGCACCATTGCCAGATATATTTCCTTGATGATTAAACATTAAACACACAAGTATTTCAAAGCATTTGAAATAACTCAGAACTAATGAAGGACTAATTGCTTCACTCTGTATATTCAAATAGTGATGTTATTTTTTAAAAAATGCATTCTTATGTCAACTGTTGCATCAATTAATTGCAAATTTTCCAACAGTTAGCTGTAGTGTGATTAAAGCATATGAAAATAATCTTTTAATTAGCTTTCATTTTGAAACAAATAGACAATTAAACCAAAGAAGTAAGTGTGAAAATTCTGTTGGTCTGCTTTTGGGGGGGCAGTGCTTGTACAAATAATGACTGTATCATTGGAAATTATTTCCTTGGCTGGTCTAATGGTTGTTACAGTAACTTAATCTTTTCCTTTTTACTGCCCTCCCTTCCATTTCCTTCAATCCTGTACCCCTACTGCTTTCCCCAGAAGCCTAAAATATACCACTAGATGAATAACAGCCTTTTTCAAGAATGCCTTTTTCAGCAGAGCTATTCAAAGTACCAGCCAATTCTTAGTAAAAATATCATTGTACACATCACTGGTGTTTAAAAGGGAGAGAAAAAAAAAAAAAAAACCTGTTCTGGCCACTGAGTCATGAGCACCTTCCTGCGAAGCATGGTTAGATTCAGGGGTAGAAAAGGGGCCGAGGGCACAAGATCTAAGGAGACACACACGCCCAGTGCTGATGTGCACGTGGAGGGGCACAGAACCTTTGGCCTAGGTGTGCCTCTAAGTATCCTGACCTCTTATTGCTTGCCGCCCTCTAGCCCCAGCTCACTATGGGGAGTCACAGAGTATCTGCCATGGGCTTGGTGCTATGGGAGAGCCAGTTAACAATGAGAAAGGGACTGCAGAACCTGTTTGCTCCAAACATTCCTGTGCAATGGGTAAGGGGCATGCTCGACCTGCTAGGGAGAAGTCAAAGAGAGGGTAGCAAGGTTCTGGTCCCCCTTCTTTCTGTCAAAACACATTTGGTGGGCATCTCCCCTGGATGCAGCATCCCCTGCCACCAACAGGCAATGTTACCATGGAGGGCACATGCCTTCCATGCTGGGCAGAACAAGAGAGCTTCAGCTGGGGAAGTAGAAATGAAAGGTCACTTTCTGAGCTGAGTGACCTTGGGCTCATGGCTTAATCTCTTTGAGCTTGTGCATCATTTCATTAAGGGGAGAGAATATTTATGTCCCTGTAAGCACCAGGGAAACCACGTGAGGTGTTTCATGGTGATTAACGTAGAGCAAATTCTAGCAACGACAGCAGCTAGCATTTTATAGGGAATGTACTCTGTGCCAAGTTCCATGCCAGATACTTCATCTGCAATATACCATTTCAGCTGCACAGAGACCCATGGGCAAGGCATTGCAAACTTTACTTTGTAGGTAAGGAAACAGACTCAGAGAAATGATTGTTCCAGTTCAGACTGCTGGTAAATGGCAGAGCTGGGATTGAAACCAGGTCCATCAAATTCTGAGGTCCACACTCCTTACTATGATGCTAAAAGGAAGGGAGAACATGGGGCTCAAATTTGGGAGCATACCCATGATAAGCGTGATTCTTCAGGAAAAACCTATAGATTTCAAACCCATCATCGAATCCCTGAGAAACCATCACAAACTCAATTAACGGTGCCCAGTAGCAGCATCAGCAACAAGATGAGTGGGACTCTAATCTCCTCATGAAGGAAATGATGTATAAGTTGTGGAAAAAAATCAATTCCCATGTGATGGCACCATTGCGTCTGGATATCCGGAGACCTTGTAGTAGAACCACAGCATGTAATAGGATCACAGAACTCAGGGAGGAAGGGATCCCCCTTTCTGTGTCAGACAACCTCCCTGGCACCTGACATAAAGCAGTACAGCCCTATTCACCCCTCTCTTTCATCAGAGGACACCTTCATGATATTGCCCTGAAATCTGCCCTTCGCTTTCATGGGCTACGCAGACAGAGGCCCCGGCATGGACATTTGTGCTGCCTCTGCTCCAAGGAGACAAGGTTCCCAGTCTTCCAGCCATCCCCATAGGGCATGATTTCTGTATGTGTGTCTCAACAACCCTTCCTGGAACCTCTGGGATTATGACAGTCGTGGGGTTCAATCCTAGCTCCCCACCACAGGTAACAGGCAAATCCAATTAACCCCTCTGAACTTAAGAGTCCTCCTCTACAACGTGAAAGCATTAAGAGCTACCTTGGGTGGGGTCACTGTATTAAGTGAGATGGAGCCTAGAAGCGCATTACCTGCTCTACGTCAGCACGCGGTGCATGCTAACTCCTGGGTTCACTTCAGAGGGACACAGGGGAGCCCTTTGTGGGGCCAGAGGCAAAAGTAAAGAGGAGATGAAGGAGGATCCACCAGGCCAGCCTGAAAGGGATAGAGCAGAGGTGAGGTCTGGTGCACCTTCCCAAAGGGAAATCAGTAAATAAACAGCTGTTGTGTGGAACAGAGCCCCCCGAGGAGACTCCTAGGAGCTGGAGTTTCTCCAACTCCATTCAAATATCATTTTGGTTCTGCTAAATTATCGCCAGAATGTGTTCTCACAAATCACTCTGTGACTTGGCAGAATTGAGTGAAATGCGATCCCAAATCATAAATTAAAGGAGGGGGGCACTTGGAATGGCACATTCATTTACACCATTTCATTTCACTCTTTCAACTGCTAAGACATTCAAAGCTCCCAGCAGGGAGTATTGGCCACAGCAGAAGGAAGACACTGAGTTATGACAAGTCCTTGTCAGTCTTCCCTGCAAAAGCAAAAGTGAGTATGTGCTGCAGGAGATGGGGCTGGGGTGCTCAGCTTTAGAGCTCTCAGGGAGGTCAAAACATAGAAGGTAAATTATAGGGACTCTAGGAGCCTCCTTCTTTTCTGCATGAAGTATTGGTGTTTATGGATTAAAAAGTGAAGGAAATTTGGGACTATGTGCTTAATAGCTCCCTGTGCCTGCTCCCCAGTTCCAACTCTAGCTGCTAGGATAAAATCTCTAATGTCCCAAACCTGGAACCAGCAAAAGCTACATCTCCTGGTTATGTACCGGGAATGTCTTAAGAACCAGCATAGGGACATGGAAATGGTTCTTTAGTGGTTGCGAGGAGATATAGAGAGCACCGTGGACCCAGTCACCTGAATATTAGTCATTAAAGCCATCAGGTCAGTTAGAACCTTGACACTTCTCTATCCACCACCACCCCAACACTCAAGCTCTGCTTGAGATATCCTCCCAGTCTCATCTACTGACAAATACATTCTGTCTCTCCACTGTGAAGTTCAATTGATTTTCATGGCTTCCTGGAGAATTGAGTAGAGAGGTTGGGTTGTTTCACACTGGTTTGCTGGAAGGATAACTGACATGGATTACTAATGTCTGCTGTGGGCAAGGGAGAAGTAGAATGGAAAAAAAGTGACATGTGTTGCCAAACTCAACTTAGCCTCCACCCCTGTAGAAATAGAGCCCTGAATACATTCTCCTGTCACCCACCATTGAGTAAGAACAATTGTTTCTGGGGTGCTGTCTTGTCCACTCTTCACATAGAAGTATTCAGAGAGCAATGCTACCTCTCTTTGACTTAAAATTCCCATGGCTCCTTGAACATGGCATGTTCCATATTGGCCACACAAACATCTTCCATCTTCCCATTGTTACCACTCCATCCACTCCTCTGCACCTCAGTCCTGCTCGTCAATCAAAGCCATAAGTGATTTTAAATGCAATATTTATATTGGATTTTATTTTTTTAAAGATTTATTTATTTATTCACACAAGTACTCGGGTAAGGCCAGAGCTGTGGGGTGAGGCGGTGAGAGGATTCACCAGAGACAGAGTGGGGAACAGAACAAACAGATTGGCTGAAATACACTGCTGAGGGGAACAGTGGGTGAGATAGGAGAGTTCTGCCACGCCATGTGGGTAGCTCCCTGGCCAGGGATCAAACTCATGCTGCACTGGCTGCGGACAGATTCACAGGTTGTGTCTTAACCCCTTGTGCCACCAGGGAGGCCCCTATATTGGATTTTATTTTAAATACAATAGAAACCCTGTAAAGAATGGGTGACACCTTCAAGAAAAAGGAAAGGGAACACGCTGGGTGTTTGTAGTTTGAATACCTGTTAAAAATATACATAGAAAGAGCAGCCCTGGATACAAAGTGTTGGAAGTCATGAGCAGATGAAGGGTATCGGGTCTAAGAAGAGAGAGGATGTCAAGTCTTAAGGTGTGGGGTTCTTTGTTCAATGCCACAGAGATACTTAGGAAAATAGGAGGCTGAGAGAGACGTGTTGGATCAGCTGCATGGAGCTACTTGGTGACCTCAGGAAACATGCCTCTGGGCAGATCAGAAAGGGACCAACCTCCCTAAAGGAGGCTGGAGGGAGACTGGGAGATGAGAAATGAAGACCACAATTAAACATTGAGGCAATTTAAATGAAGACAAGAATAGGAGAATAAGGGGTAACTGAAGGGGAATATGGTATCAAGCGGTCAAGGTTGAGTTTTTCCTTTCTTTAAGATGGGATAATGCTGAGGAGCATGATCTCTAGGCAAAGAAAAATATAATGATGCAATTCTAAAAGGGGATAATTTGATAGAAATTGTACCTTCCATAAGTGGAAAAGGCTTCTTCTGTTTGCTCATTTATACATAAACTCATTCGCTTAATAAATGCTTTTCAAATGTCTATGATGCACTAGACAGACAAGGTCTGGCAACAGATGGATTATAAGAATTCTTTTAGTAAGATGTTATCTCCATAAAGAGTATGCAAGCTCTTTTAGGTGAGAGGCAATGTATTGTTTTATAAACAAAAACATCTTTTATGAACTTAGAAGACTCCAGAATAAGACATATTAATTAAACATAAAGAAATTAACTGGGAAATGAAGCCAGAATGAAAAGAGGTGAGTTGGATGGGAATTAAATAGTGATGAAAAGAATGGAGCTGGTAGCTGCCCCACTGGGATATCCTACTTTTAGACCAGACTGACTTACGCTCCCCCACTCCACAGATGCCCCAGCAGAATCTGCAGCCCTGGTCCTGTGGACTTTCACTAGTCTCGTTGTACTGGTGGTGTCTGTTTCTCTCCTTTCTGTTACATCCAACTCTTCTCCAGGGTCTCTCTAGGTTTAGATTCTTTTGATTTTTCTTTCATTTGTTATTTTACTTCATTTTCATCTCCATTGTGTTTCTCACACTTCAGGTAAGAAGGTGTCACCTCCCTGGTGGCACAGGGGTTAAAGACAGCGCTACCAAGCTACTGACAGCCACTGTAGCACCAGTTCAATCCCCAGCCAGCCAGGGAACTGACCCACATGGAGTGGCAGACCTCTCCTGTCTCACCTGCTGCTCCCCTCAGCAGTGTATTTCAGTCAATCCACCTGTTCTGCTCCCCACTCTCTGGTGAATCCTCTCAACCACAGCATCTCTGGCTTAAATCCAATTCTTGCATGCATAAATATATATATATATATTTTTTAAAAAAGTGTCTTTCCAGTTTAACCATCAGCCTCTGAGCCTCACTCATCCTCTGGATTTTCTCACTTTGGAATTCCTAACTCGTCACAGGAGCCCAGAGAACAGAAAAATGGAGGGAAGATGTAAGGAGGTGGTATGGGTGGTGTCATGATCTCATCTCACCTAAGACACAGACGAGATAAAGACTTGTAGGCCCCAGAGACTGCCACAAGCGCCTGTGCAGGAATGAGATAAACCACCAGGCACATCCTTTCACGCTGCACACTCCTTGGGAACTGATGGTATTTGCTGATCGGAACTTACAGAATTACATTCTGATCACAAACAGAACTGATAGTTGGAACTTCCTTATCCGGGGCTTGTTGATTGTATGAAGATACTCTTTCAACAATATATCCTGAAAGCCTAACACTGAGATCAGTCATGAAGATAATAGGAGAGTCAGAAACGGAATAACAACAATCCCTTACAGGATGTGTGATCAAATGGGAAGAGAGGCCTGGGGCTAACCCAATACAGACACGCTCACCTATGCTTAGTGAAGACTATGAATGAGCCCAAGGTCCTGTTGTGAGAGTTCATATAAAAAGTGAACTTGGGCCTCCCTGGTGGCACAAGGGGTTAAGACACAACCTATGAAGCTATCTGCAGCTACTGCAGCACGAGTTCGATCCCCAGCCAGGGAGCTACCCACATGGTGTAGCAGACCTCTCCTGATTCGCCCGCTGCTCCCCTCAACATTGTATTTCAGTCAATCTGCCTGTTCTGTTCCCCATTCTGTCTCCGGTGAATCCTCTCACCCCCCACACCTCTGGCCTGTGTCCCAGTTCTTGTATGCATAAATAAATAAATTAATCTTAAAAAAAAAAAGAAAGAAAGTGGACTTAGGCTGAGGATCAGTGAAACATTTATAGGAGAAAATAATTCTTGAGATCTGAAGAGTAAGTTGGCATTAAATAGCCAAAGGGAAGCTGGAGGGTTGGGGGCAGTCCGTTTTTTGCAAAAGTCGTGCAGCAGGAGGGAGCTTAGAAAATACAAAGGATTCAAGGGAAACCCTTGGCTTTGGAAGGAGAATGGGATGGGAACTGGAAGATGAGGCAGCCAGGAATTGGGTGGGACAATGACCCAGCCACGGGCCTCCCACAGGGAAGGGTAACAGGAGTATTCGGTAGGGGTAACATTATTAGATTTATGTGCTGGGGTGTGAGGGAGGGTTTAAATCTGGCTGCTGTGTGGGGACTGCAGGTTTTGGCATGAGGGCAAGAGGTAGATGGAATAGGAGGGTGATGTAATGGCCAAAATGAGGATGATGGACTTGGGCTTGAAGCAGGATTGCTGCAGAGAGGTGGAGAGGAGGAGGTAAGTCCCAGAGATATCTAGGAGGTAGAATCAGCAGAAGTTGGCAATGAATGGTCTACAGCACGTAAGGAGACAGAAACATCCTGTCAGCCTTAGGAGTCATCCAAATGCTCACCAGCATGAGGTAATTTGAAGCCTGATAAAACAGGCTTCATGAAATTAGATGTGTTGGGAAAGAAGCACCTGTGGTCAGCTGCTCATGTGAACAACACTGGAAAAGACACTGTGTGGGAGGCTTCTGCCCTTTGTAGAGCTTCTGTGTCATGAACTGGACACTGTGGTTAACAACCTCACAGATGTTTTCTCTTTAGGTCTGTTCTGGAATGTTTGATTTATTCTAATCTGAGTCTGTAGAGAAAGGACTACAAACAGTTTGTGAACCAGAAATTCAGAACCACAGTTGTTTTTTTTTTTTTTTTTCCTTTAATCTCATCAAAAGCGACACCAGGATACCTAAGCCAATAACAACTTTGCCATTAACTGTCACTGTGCCCTCAGGTGACTTTCATTTTCCCTCTATGCTTTCATCTGTATTTGGGGGATGCTGGGTAAGAAATCTGCAAAGCAACTCCAGCACTAAAATTCTCTACATATGTGACACCCGCTGAACACACATGGAAAAGAACATGCTCACAACCGCAGGTAATGGAGCTGTCCAACACTGACTATGCATCCATGGCTCCGTATTTTAATTCAGAAAATTCTTTCAAACCAAATGCAATATAATTTACAGTCAATTTTGGAACAAAATTTGCTATAATGAAAGATGTTCCAAGCAACAGCAATGCTTTTTGTAAGAGTTACATTCTCTTAATGGGCAGCAGGCAAAGAGAAACATCAAAAATATGCTTCAAATCTGCAAAGCCGAAGAACTCCGCACCACTTAAACCTCCGCTTTGTTCCCAATAAAATTAGCTACATGTTAACCTGCACAGTCAGACTCCTCGGATGATTTTCCGGTGTGGTACCCATTTATATCTCAGGCTTTCCTAGCACCGCACACAGCTGACTGCGCCTCTGCCACTTCCTGCAAAGGAACATCTGCTCTAAATACTTCAAAGCTGCTTCGAGGAATATACTTGTAGTCTCTGCCCAGACATGTGGTTTCCAGTGCCCCTACCCTCCACGCTCACTGCCAGTGCTTTGTGTTCGACTAGATCACCAGCCTCCATTTTCTAGACCCTGGCAACGATGAGGAAACTAGTTTACCTGCTCCAGTTGCCTGCCCACTATTTTATGTTTCATTTGTTTCATTTCATTATGTTTCATTTCAGCTTCCTGAATGTTCTTTTTTTTAATATTTACTTATTTATGCATACAAGAACTGGGGTACAGGCCAGAGGTGTGGGGGGGTGGGAGATTCACCAGAAACAGAGTGGGGAGCAGAACAGGCAGATCTCCTGAAATACACTGCTGAGGGGAGCAGCGGGTGAGACAGGAGAGGTCTGCTGTGCCATGTGGGTTGTTCCTGGCCACCGGGGAAGCAAACTCATGCTGCAGTGGCTAGCAATAGCTTGATAGCACTGTCTTTAAGCCCTACACCACCAGGGAGGCCCCCGAATGTTCTAACTGGGAAGACTGTCCCACTCACACCCGTACTCCAAAACTTCCCTGCTGCTCAGGATAAATTCAGAGACCCCAGATCCAATATGCCAGGTCCTCTGGGAATGGACTCCAGGCCACCTTTCCAGTCTCACTTGCCCAGACTCTCCCTCCTAGACATGCGGACTCCCATCTTCCAACAACACAGCATCTTCCTCCACACAGGTTTGTTGTCATTCATACCATTCCCATCCTCTGGAATGTTTTCTTTTTATTAGTGCACACCTGCTCATCCATACAAAGATGTTTGAGCACATGCCATATGGCAGAATATCCTGGCCACCCTCCACCAGAAGGAAACATGAATCAAGATTTAATACTCTGGAAGCAGAACCATTCAGAAGGATGCTTAGGAAGGGCATGGGATTTAAATGAGCACAAACGTCACCTGGGGATCTTGCAAAGAGACGGGTCTTGGGTTACTGAATCTTCTCCAATGAGATCCAGGGCACAGCTGATGCCACCAGTCCAAGGGCTTGGAGATCTGGAAGCTGTACAAGTTACTTCCTTGTCTGAACTGCAATCCTTTGAGAATGATTTGAGAACCAGTGGGTGTGGTCTGCCACTGATGTCTTCTCAAGAAACCCTGAGATGAGTGGGAGACACAAGCAAATGCAATGAATCCATAAGCTTAATTGACACAAGCAATTAATCTATAGCATGAGGTGTGCTCTGTTAGGGGCAGAGACCCTGGAAATGCCCCACAGACTCTGACGATTATCTCTGATTTGAACCTTAAAGAGAGACTGAGTAGGCAGGTCAAAGACATGGGAAGTCTGGGAGGAGAGAGCAGTCTCACCAGGGAAAAGAGATGGGGGGTGTCTGGGGAGGACAATAAACTTGCTACATGTGCAGGACGGGGGCTTGGAGGGGAGGAGGGTAGGAGTGGGACTGGAGGAGTGGTGACTAAGTCATGAAGGGTCTTGTCTGTCCAGTAGAATTCCCCTGAAGATCAGCTAGAGTTATGAGGGTCTTTAGGAAGTTACCTGGGAAGATTTCCTTCTTAGTTTGACACCCTCAGCTGCCCCTGACACCCAGCTGACACCCTCACATGGCTGAGCAAGACTAGAGAAAAGGAAGCTGGTGAGGTTGGGGCAAGTTGCTACAGAAAAGTGCGTATCATATGCCCTGGGGATGTTTGTTGAAAGAAAAAGTGAATGAATCATTTAGTCGCCCCCTTTTTTTAATTTACTGACTCCATTGTGAGTATTAGAAATAATCAGACCAGGGCCTCCCCTGGTGACGCAGCGGTTGAACACTGGGCTGTGAAGATGCCTGCGACCTCGGCAGCGCCGGCTCAATCCCCGGCCCACTGGCAAGGCTCCCACATGGCACGCAGACCTCTCCTGCCGCACCCACTGCTCCCCTCAGCAGTGTACTTTGTCGTCTGCTTGTTCTGCTCCCTGCTCTGGCTCTGGTGAATTCTCTCACCCCCCACCCCCTGCACTTCTGACTGTACCCAGTGCATGTATAAATAAAAATAAATCTTTTTTAAAAAAAAGAAAAGAAATAATCAGTTCATATGGAACAACCATCTCACTGTTCCAGGTCTCAACAAGCAAACCAAAACTATCAGGATTTAATTATAGCAACATTTTTACTAATGTGTGTGTGTGTGGTGGGGGGCTTACTTTTAATTGGTTAGTATCCCTGGAGAGAAATTGGCAACAATGGAGAAAAGAAGCTACAAATCTGGCAACACTCTTCATCCTGCTGCTCATATATTCAGGTGTACTGTTTTGTTCAAGCCTCTGCAGCCTGGTGAGGCAGGAGAGGTCATATTAACAATCATTGGTGATAAAACCCCGAATAGCCAAAGCTCCCCTGAAAAAAAAAGAAGGGAATGGAGGCATCACACGCCCAGACTTCAAACTATACTACAAATCCATAATCATCAAAACTGCATGGTATTGGAACAAGAACAGACACACAGACCAATGGAACTGAATAGAAAATCCAGAAATAAACCCACAGATTTATGGTCAACTAATCTTTGACAAAGGAGCAAAGAATATGCATTGGTACAAAGAAAGTTTGTTCAATAAATGGTGCTGGGAAAACTGGGTCGCTACATGCAAAAGAATGAAGCTTGACCATTACCTCACACCATACACAAAAACCAACTCAAAATGGATTAAAGAACTAGATATAAGACCTGAAACCATAAAATACATAGAAGGAAATATAGGCGAAACACTACGTGATATGCACCTCAAAGACATATTTACAGACACATCACTCAAAGCAGTGATAGTGAAGGCAAAGATAAACAGCTGGGACTACATCAAATTAAAGAGCTTCTGCACAGCAATAGAGACAATAACCAAAACAAAGAGAAACCCCACCGACTGGGAGAAAATTTTTGCACACAACACTAATGATAAAGGACTGATCACAAAAATCTACAAAGAGCTGATGAGACTCAACAAAAACAAAGAAAATAAACCAGTAAAAAAAAAAAAATGGGAGCTAAAAAGTAACTTCTCTGAAGAGGAAATGCAAATGGCCAACAGGCATATGAAAAAATGTTCAACATCACTTGTAATCAGGGAAATGCAAATCAAAACTACCATGAGATACCATCTTACACCAGTGAGAATGGCACATATTAAAAAAAACTAGCAACAACAAATGTTGGCGAGGGTGTGGAGAAAAAGGAACTCTTCTGCACTGTTGGTGGGAGTGCAAACTGGTCCAACCACTGTGGAGAGCTGTGTGGAGATTTCTGGACCTACTAAACATAGAGCTTCCATATGATCCAGCAATTCCACTCCTAGGTATTTACCCAAAGGACACAGAAACATCAATTCCAAAGAGCACCTGTACCCCTATGTTTATAGCAGCACTGTTTTCAATAGCTAAGCTTTGGAAACAACCCAAATGCCCAAAAATAGATGACTGGATCAAGAAGATGTGGTCCATATACACCATGGAATATTACTCAGCATTCAAAAAGATAAACACATGCAATTTGCAGCTACATGGATGGTGCTGGAAGGGATCATCCTCAGCGAAATAAGCCAAAAAGAAAAAGAAAAATACCAAATGGTCTCACTCATAGTAGGAATCTAGAAAACTTAAATAAGGGACCAGGAAATTGAATAACTATAAGAAAGTGAAAATCAAAATCAACAAACAACTATGAATCAGAGACACTCTATGGGAGGTGCGGGGGCGGGGAGGGGAGGGATTGGGCGTCAAATAAGGGGGCTCTGCAATTGTATGCGCTTCTGACTGTAAGTGCATAAAAATATAATAAATAAATAAATAAAAACATGCCTCTATAAAAAAAATAAATAAATAAATAAAAGGAAAAAAAAAAACAAAACAATCATTGGTTTCAAGCAACATCCCCAGAAATCGGAAAGCTTGTTATTTTCAAAAATATCCATGGACTTTAGATTGATCTAAGAGAAAGACTATGTTTGGGTGCAGCAAATGAGTACAATGAACAGGTTAGTACTCACCTGAAAGGAGCTTCTTTTTTCTGAGATTATATACTTGGTATCTAAATGTCCTTCCTTGAAATGATGATGTTGGTTGATGGTCGAGGTAAAAGGTATTTTTTTTGTTATTGCTTTGCTTTTTTTCACTCCACTTGTGCTCAAGTGACCACAATGAATTGGTTCCAGATGCTCTTTCCAGGTTGAGCAGAACAGCTTTCTGAGGAGCATCAAATCCTATTATTTACTACAACACTGAGCCATGACATGCCTGACGTGGAAGGCCCAAGGCAGGCCTGCAGTACAGAGCACCAGTGTTTTCATGTGGCTATACATGAAACTGTGTCCTACTTCTTTTGGTGTGAGCCCAGCCAGCCTCCCCAATTTTACACCATAGCTCAACTCCCTAGATTAAAGGACAGTTAGAAACTTGGCCCAAACCGGGACATGAGGATCGGGGAACGGGGGCCACTGAATGAGTTTGTGACCTACAACAGGGATTACTTCGCCCAAGGCAGCAGGACCATGCACGGTTCCAGAAGACTTCTGTGCAGGCTGTGCAGTGCACAACTCCAGGGGGTGCCATGCTAGTCAACGTGGCAGCCCTGTACTTACAGGTCTTAAAATTGAGGCAGGGGGCCTCCCCAAGGGGCGCAGCTGTTGAGCGCTGGGTTGCGAAGCTGCCCGCAGCCTCTGAAATGTAGGTTCAATCCCCGACTACTGGGCGAGGGTCCCACAGAACTTTCCTGCCGCCTGCTGTTCCTCTCAGCAGTGTACTTCTTGTCAGTCTGCCTGTTCTGCTCTCCCCTCTGGCTCTGGTGAATTCTCTCACCCTCCTGCGCTTCTGACTGTACCCAGTGTTTGTACAAATAAATAAATAAATCTTTAAAAAAATAAAATAGAATAAATAAAATTGAGACAGGATCGCAAACAAATAGTCAGTGATAAAACACATCAGACTGATGAAAGGAGTTCAAAAAACCAAAATCGGCGTTGCAACTGCTGTAACTGAGCCCACTGATGAGGGAAGAGCTGCTACATGCACACACCTGGCTTGAAGTAGACCCAGCACAAGAAGGTTGGGGAAACCAAGGGAGTAGCTCATTACCCAGGAAACAAGGGAGCTGATAGAAAGCAAGAAGGTCGATGCTTGAGTAAGACTCTCTAAAGACAGGAAGCCCTTGTGACACAAGGCCAGGAGCACTTGTGAATGGTGACGTGGGTATAGGACCAGGGGAGGAGCCAGAAATGAGCTGAGATTCAGGAACTGAGCTCCAGGGCATGCTCCATGAGAGGGGCGAGAGTGGGAACACCAGACAGTGAGCAGATCCACAAAACTCCTGAATTTCGTTTTCCTGCTTCTGAAAGACAGCCGCCCTTGTCGTCCTGCTTGCAATTACAAGTCCAAGGTTGCACAACAGCCCTCTGCCAGCCCATCTCTCACAGGTCACCAGATGACATCAGTGCTAGGCTAGTCTTCCATCAGGGTCCTACTGATGTTAGTTAAAACTGGCATGTGTAGTGCCCAGAAGCCAAGGTGACCAGAGGAAGAAGGGAAAGAAAATGAGGAGAGTGATCATGAGGTAATTGTGGCAAAGAACCTTTCACGTGTGAACTCTGGCCTGCACTCTCCCAACACACCTTCCCCACCGCTTGGAGGGGTGAGAATTCTGTTTCACATTTTCAGTATCAAAGGACTAAAACACAGATAATTTAAGCACCACACAGCTAGGATGGGATTTTCAACAGCTCTGCCAAACTAAATCCCAAGGTGATGCCCTCGCTACTCAAGCTCCTTGGACTGGCAGCAACAGCTCTGCCCGGAAACTTGTTAGACAATTCATACTCCAGGGCCTCCCTGATGGCGCAAGGGGTTAAGCGCAGCACTGTGAAGCTATCTGCATCCTCTGCAACATGAATTCAATCCCCAGCCAGCCAGGGAAGTGACCCACATGACACAGCAGACCTCTCATGTCTCACCCACTGCTGCCCTCAGCAGTGGAGTCTGCCTGTTCTGTTCCCCACTCTGTCTCTGGTGAATCTTCTCACCCCCACACCTCTGGCCTGTACCCCAGCTCTTGTATGCATAAATAAATAAATCTTTTAAGAAAATTCAGATTCTCTGGTTCCACCCAAGACCTATTGACTCAGAATCTGCCTGTTGGCAGGATCACCAGGTGACTTACAAGTTCATTTAAGCTTGAATATTATCATTCTAGAAGAGCTCTTGATTCAATTTTCTACCATTCCTGTTACCTGGCAAATAGTCTAAAATACGACCACTGGATCAGAACCTCTCTCACCAGTTCTGGGTCTGGCTACCTGCCTCCATCAAATGCAAACAAAAGGACCTTTAATGATGCAAAAAAAAAGAAAAGAAAAGAAAAGAAAAGAAAAGAAAAGAAATATAGGGCCTCCCCGGTGGTGCAGAGGGTTGAGTGCAGCAACTGCAAAGCTGTCCGCAGCCTCTCCAGCGCTGGTTCAATTCCTGGCCAGCCAGGGAGATTCCCACGTGGCGCAGCAGACCTCTCCTGCCTCACCCGCTGCTCCCCTCAACAGTATATTTCCTGTCAAACTACCTGTTCTGCTCCCCGCGCTGTCTCTGGTGAATCCTCTCACCCTCCTGCGCCTCTGGCCTGTACCCCAGTTCTTGTATAAGAAGAAATAAATCTTTAAAAAAAAAAAGATATATAACTTCTAAACAATAGGATAAAGGGAGAGGAACAACTGGCAGTTTGGGGGAGGAACTAGAAAGGCAGAGGGAGATGGTGTGAAATGGAGTTTCAGTTACAGGACCCCGCAGGGGGCAGCAGAACCTGCTGCTGCTGAGATCAGGGACTCCCCACCACTGTCGGGTAATGGGGCTCAGCCACCTTTCACAGCAGCTCTGATGAAAAAGAGCAAGCCCAGGTGCATGGCTCCATTTTAAAGGCTCACAAAAATGGCTGCTCAGCTCTGGCCCCTTCCCAGCAGCCCCTTGCTCAGGACATCAAGGGTTAGAGGTTCAGCCCTTTATCAGGTGGGCCCCGGGGGTGGAAAGCTGCCCAGGGCTGCTTCAACATTCCTAGCTGAGATTTATCCTAAAGCAAGAAAAATGTCAGGGTGTGGAAGTTGTTCCTTCCGCCTCCATTTCTTTGCAAAGGAAAGTGAAAACAGCGGTACTGTGTGTGATTTCCCTCATGATGATGACACAGCCGGGATGAGGCTGGCTTTAGGTCTAACAACTGCTCAACTCAAGGCTGGCCAGTGTCCCAGGACTTGGTCTAGCTTTATGTGACTTTTCATCACCTTAGCTGCTGAGCAGGAAGGAATTCAGTAGCTGGCTGATGCGGATGCTAGGAAAAGCAGGAACAGGCTGAGACCATCTGACTATACCTCTCCTCTCCTCAAGCTATGAGAACAAACCCTCTTCCATGGCCCTTACTCACGGGAAATTAGAGAAAAGGAATCTCAGGGGAATAGCCCCATAGGGATTCAAATGACCTTTCCTCTCCCATAGTCTCAGATGCAACTTATGACCCCTCCCTCCTGGTCACAATTGATGAGACCAAGGATGGAGCAAAGAGATGACATGGCTCTCCCCAGCTCATAAATTCATTCCCATTCTCTCTCTCTCTCTCTCTCTCTCTCTCTCTCTCTCTCTCTCTCCCTATTTCCCTTCCTTCTTCTTCCCTCTTTTTTTTTTTCCTGCCTACTTCTTCCTCACCTTTTTCCCACCCCCACCTCAAATCTGAAATGGTGAAACAGAGCGAAGGTGTCAGTTACAGTGAAGGGTTACAGCAGTGCAGTGCCCCCTCCCCCTGCTCCAGCCCTGCATGTCCCCAGCTGCTGTGGGCCAAAAGCTGTTTTCTGCAATCTGGCTATAGGCACATGCTTAGAGAAAAAGGTGCAAGTAAACTGAGGAGTTAACACCCCACCAGAAGCCTGGAAAACTGACAAGTGACAAAGTGACATTTGGTAGAGAAATACCTCAGCTCTCTTGCCTTTAATATAGACCGTGCTTGAGGTGGATGTTTGACACTGATGCCCCGAGGTGCCCACAGTGGTGACTTGTGGGTAATGCATCCTTTATCTGTGCTGGTCGGTTTCTCCCTCTCATCCTCACCCCCATTTCTGGTATTTCCTGGAATCACCTAAATACCACTCATATTTGGACTTCCATCTCTGAAGCCATCTCCAGGAGCTCCATAAGATACCTACCGTAAAGGCTGTGGAGAGGCTTGGGGTAAACGAGGGCGAAGAAGCAGGAGCGGTGGAGTCACAGGAGAGAGAAGGAAGCCAGAGGGCACAGAGGAGTAGAAGAAGTCAGGGAGGCCACAGGAGTCCCCTCCCAGGGCAGGCTCCCCAGGCCCAGCCATCCTCACAGAAATCCCCTTCCTGGGGCAACCAGAGGGGAGACTTGGCCTGGGCCCCTGGAGAGCCTGATAGGCAAATCAAACTGAATACAAAAGAGAGGTGGCCAGATAACTAGAAAACAGTTCCAGCCAGCACCTCTAGACACTTCCTGTATGCCTGATCTCCTCCCCTCAGCATCTGACAGAGGTGACTAATGTCACCCTCACAGCCCTGAAAGGTAAGCAATAGTGTGACCATGCACTTACTAATGAGGAAACTGAGTCCATAGAGGCTAAGGCCCATGTGTTGCCTCAGCTACTGTGTCAGATGCAGGTGTGACCCAACCCAGTTATTCCCCAATACCACACAGGACTGGTCAAGATGGCATTGCCCTCCCTTTATAGGTTGGGATTTTACATTTTCAGGACATCTTTCTCTTTTGGGAGTTGGGTCGGGGGGAGAGGTGTTGTCATGGTCTCCATAAACTTCAGGCTCTGAACCTCTTCATTTCTTTTTTTAATTTAATTTTATTTTTATTTATACAAGCATTGGGTACAGTCAGAAACGTGGGAGGGTGAGAGAATTCACCAGAGCCAGAGCAGAGAGCAGAATAGGCAGACTGACGAAATATACTGCTGAAGGGAGCAGCGGGCGGCAGGAGAGGTCTGCGTGTTATAGGACAGGGAGGGGGGCAGCCCAAACCCCACAAACCTGCCTATTCTACATGGGTTCTGCCATCCGCCGCATCAACACAAAACATAGGAGACTTTAATGGGAAGGAACTTTAATAAAACTAGGAAACAATTCAGGTAAGGCAAAGAGTCTAGTTTCTAAATGAAGCATCCAGAGTTACCCGTCCCCTCGTGGGTAAAAGTCCATCCAAAT